ACTTTTGCGTACATCTTGGTACCTCTGTGTTGGCACCGGAGGCTTCCCCTGTCTTTTCTTGGAGAAGTCACTTTGGACTCTTTCAGGTTTTTCTTCTGATGTCTCTTCTTAAACTTTTCAAAATAGACAATGACTTTGCAGAACTCATTCATGGCTCAACCATACTGGAGTCTCAGCAGCTAATGCTGCTGGGCATCCTCAAGTTGAGCTATCACTGAGTGCTGACTGAGTTGCTATACTTTTCACATTCTTCAAATCCTTTCCTTTCCCTCAAAGATTGTGCCCGCTGGAGAACTCAGCAACTTAACCTCCATTGGCTTGTTTGTTTGTTGGCAGTACTGAGGACTGAATTTGGACCTCCCTGTACCACTTGAGTCTTACCCCTTGTCCTCTTGCTTTGAGGTTTTTTTTCAGATAGGGTCTTGTGTTTTTCTGCCAGGCTTGCTTCAGACTGAGATCCTCCTAGCTCCGCCTCTGTAGCTGGGATTGCAGGCATGTGCTACTATGCCTGGCTCCTCACCCTTCTTTCTTGCTCATATTGTCTCAAAATACCAGACACTGAAGGAAACCCCAGAAGACTTCCGACTTGTGGTTTGCACAAAATTTTGGCCAGTGCACATAGACCGAAGCCATGTGATCAGCCCAGGAAGAATGGAAGGAAGCATTTGTACCAAATATCTTCCATTTCCTTCTCCAGATTCCCTCTTCATTTTTCTCCACCTTGCTCTGTCCTGGTAACTGATTCATACCAATTGCACCAGCAGACTTCCTTGCCCTGAAATTTCCAATTGGCTTCAGCCAATGGAAGGCAGCAATCAAAGGGGTGGCATTTTTCATTTCCCATGGCTCTTGCCTGTTGGCTCTCCCCAGTCACTTGGATGGGCTGCATTCTTCCACTGAAGGTGACAACTTCTGTCCTGCAGTGTTCTTTTATTTTCTCTCCTCCTCCTTCTCCTCCTCTTCCTCCTTCTTCTTTCTCTCTCTTTTCCCCTTCTTCCTTATTCAGCTAATAAATTTTGTCCCTTCAGCCCTCGGGTCTGAGCTCTATCCACAGCTTTGTAAATAGCTCCTGTGTTAAGCTCTTCACAAATTATCCATTTTGAGTGTGGCATCTGTTTCCTGCCAGGGCTGATACAGTGTTTGATTAATGGGTATTAGTTCAGACTAGCTGGAGCATGAAGTGTGTGTGATGAAACACTATAACATCATGTAAGAACAGTAGGTAGTGAACAGATGGCAGAGGGGCTCAGATTCCAGGCCAGGGAGTCCCTGAGAAAATGGGCACCTCAGGAGTGACATACTTTAAGACTAATTTGATAACTCCATGCAGAATGGGGTAGGAACTGAAGAGACAAGTTAGGAGATGATTACATTACTGCTACCGGGAAGATACCATTTTGTAACTATCAGATTGGCAATGATCCAAAAATCTGACAGCACATTGTGTTCATCAGGATGTGAGGGAATAGCAGTAGCAGACCCTGCTAGTGTGTGTGTAAATTGGTAAGCCTCTTGGGAGTGCAATTTGATAATATCTATAAATATTATAAATGTTTAGAACTTGTTGATGCAGTCCTAAGTAGTTAGCCTAAAGCTATAATTAGGGGCGTGCTAAATAATTTGTGTATTAGCCTATTCAATGTTTCATTGTTCTAATGGCTAAAGATTGGAAACAACTTTAATATTCATCAGTTAGAGACTAATTAGATGGTATGTCACACGTGACAGAAATATGTAGGAAATATGGCATGATATGTACTTATGTGGAAAGGTCTCCACATATGATGTTAATGATGTAGGAAGGTGCAGAATAGTATACTTTGTGTGCTTCTGTTTGGGTCCAGGAATAGAAGGATATACAGTACATAACATAGAGGTTTATAAATGACAGACCAAAAAGATATAAACTGGTAAAGAGTGGTAAGAGTGAGAGCTCTCCAAAGAGGACTGAAGGGTCTGGGACAAAAGAGGGAAGAACACTAAGTGTTTACTGTAATTCTTTTGTACCTTTTTATGAATTCCTATTTTTAAAAAGAAAACATTGCACTGTTTTCTTAGACTCAAACCTCTACATTGATGTCAGTTCTAAAGGTCAGATTATGTAGTTTTCTTGGTGAAATAAACACAAGAAATACTTGGGTTAAAAAAAAAAAATCTCAAAAGAAGTATTTGACTTAGCTCAAGAGGTAGAGTGCCTGCCTTAAAAGTCCAAAGCCCTGAGCTCAAACCCCAGTAAACAGCCTTGAATTATCTGCTGGTGTTACAGACTGAATATTTGCATCTCTCCCAAAATTCACATTGAAATCCTACCCCAAAATGTGATGGTATTAGGGGTGGGCCTTGGTAGGTCATTAGTTTAGACTCTAGAGTGTCCCCTTGCCCTTTTGGCTGAGTAAGGACATGGTGATAAGACAGCAGTCTACAAACTAGGAAGTGGACCCTCACCAACACTGAATGGGCTCTTGCCTTGACGCTGGTCTTCTCAGCCTCCAGAACTGTGAGAAACAAATTTCTATTGTTGATAAGTCATCCAGTCTATGGTATTCTGTTATAGCAGCACAAAGACAAGTAGTCTTACCAGTCTCTAGAGTTAGGGGAAGTGTAGTATCTCGAATGGTAGGAAGGCTTCCTTCTGTGACTAATGCTCATCTGAGTTGGTCTCAGGTAGAATTTCATGCAGGGAATTCAAACTTTGGATTGGCCTTTCCAAACACATAAGCTTGCGCCTAAGTGGAATAGATGGCTCTGGGGAGGAGGAAATGTGCCTTGGGAGAGGAAGGTCAGTGAAGATGGGAATTTTTTTAAATATTGAGGGACATTAAAGGGGTGCTAGTTGGATGTCTTATAATTTGTTGGCTGGGTGAGACGAGCAGAGTTATGGGCTTAGGGTTGTAAGCCTTAGGAAAATAGAAAAAGGTCCGGAATTGTTGGTGTAAACATGTGGAAGGAGCTGTTCAGAAGTGCTCAGTGGACTTGCTGACCAGCACTGAAAGCTTAGCTGACATTAGCATTAATCATGATTCAAACTTCCATAATTTTGTGATTGTTTTATCTGTTACAGGTAGCAAGTTTGCAAAAGCTCCAACAGACTTTACTCTGTTTTGTTGTTTTTCCTTTTTGTGGTACACGGGGCGGGGGATCAAACCAAGCCTAGGCAAGCACTCTATGCCACCATCCCAGAGTTTTTGTGTGTGGGGGGGGATTGGGATTTGAACTCAGGGCTTCTCACTTGCAAAGCAGTTGCTCTACCACTTGAGCCACACCTCCAGTCCATTTTGCTCTGGTTGTTTTGGGGATGGGGGTCTCACGAACTATTTGCCCAGGCTGGCCTCAACCAGCAATCCTCCCAATCTCAATCTCAGCCTCCCAAGTAGCAAGGATCACAGGTGTGAGCCACGGGCACCTGGCCAGGGTTTTGTTTTTTAAATGGAGTTAGCTGTCCTGTAAAAATGATCAGCCCACAAATATGAATTGTAAGCCCCCAATGCCACAAGAATGACTTTTACTTAAGTGTTCTTGGGGCTAAATTATCAGTCTTAAAGGCTATGGTTTAGGGTATGGGTCATGGTTCCTACTATGATGGTATAATTAAGAATTTGATTACATTTACCAGAATTTTTTTCTGAGAAATTTTTTCCTTCTTTGTAAATGTTGCAAATTGTAAAACTCATTAGGCTCTTCGTGTGTGTGTGTGTGTGTGTGTGTGTTTTCAAGACTAACATTTGAGAGAAAAAAGATTCAGGTTCACTTCTCATTAAGGAATGGAATGTCTGCCTCCATTTTGATTCCATCCTTCTCATTTATTTTTGTTACCTTTTTTACTTATACTAAAAGCTACTTTAAGTGCTCTTTTGAATTAGAACATATAAATATTGAACATAAAATTTTTTTAAGTATTTCAAGTATTTTTCTTTTGGTGTTGGGGATTAAACTTCATTCAAGGTAGATAAACGCTCCAACCACTGAACTACAACCCCCAGACTCCAGACTTTAATTCTTCAGTATTAATTTATTTTTGCAGTGCTGGGGTTTGAACCTGGAGCTTTGATCATACTGGGCAAGCAGAGCTACATCATGTATCTTAACACTTGAGGTAGTTATTTTAAAAAAGCATGCCTGAAGGCGTGGGGCCACAAGACCGGAAAGTGCTTCTTAAAGTTCTTACAACTATCCATCTAAGAATGCTGCACAGTAGTTTATAGAGCAGAAAGACAAACCTGTAACAGTAGTGCATTACAGTAAAATGTATGGAAAAAATTACAACTTGGCTGGATGTTTGCCTCAATTTTCTTTGTAAGAGAACACCTAGCAGCAAAACTGAGAACTTAAGCAGTTTGCTCTCTTTATTTTGGAAACTTTCTTTCCAACTCAGCTAGCACTGTTTAGTAAGCCACACATGGTAGTGGTGGTGAAGGTGGGTTGCAGAAACTTGACTACCTGGTTTCAAATCCCAGGACATCACCTGGGCGGTGTGACCTTGGGTAAATTGCTTACCTGTTTTCTCACTTGCAAAATGGTGCTAACACAAACTACCTTATATGATCTTGAGGATTTAAAAAGTCAGTATGTCTAAGAGTTTAAGTGCACAGAAGAATGAGAACTGATTTTGGTTTACAGTTGTTAAGATTCATGCACCATGGATTCCAAAAGCCCAAGTTAATGTGTAGTTTAAGACCAAAGAGGAATCTTTGCAGTCTTCCTGCTGAGAAACACTTTGGTAAGGGACCCAACACTGCAATGCAGAAAACCTGCTAATGGTATTTTGCACAGCTTGATACCACTTGAATTAGCTGCTCTTAAGAGCCCTGCTGACTTTGCTTATTAAATATTTATTGAAGGACTGGGGGCATGGCTCAAGAAGCAGAGCGTCTACCTAGCAAGCTCCAGGCCCTGGGTTCAAACCTCAGTGCCACCAAAAATAAAAACTGAAGACCTACTTTAACCATTTTAAGTGTCACAAACCATTCAAATCATCCCCTTATTGCTTCAAATTACTGTCGTCAAAGAAAAGCTTATAAACGTTGCCAAAATAGCAAAAATGGGTTAGATGTAGCATGAATTTAATGAAAGTAACAGTTTAGGAGCCTCTGGCAAGCTCAAGCCTTAAAATATTCAATGTGACAAAGGATAAGTTCTGGGGTCCCCTCAGCTGGAGGCACTCCCACGTGGAAAGTATTTGCTGAGAGCGCAGAACAAGTGTGACAACTGCTAGTCCCACTCCATCTTTCGCTCCTCTTCAGGAAGAATGCTCCAGTTTGGGGAGGGGACATCCCGGGCCAGCCAGTTGAAGTCGTCAACGGTGTTCCAGTTATTTCTGCCCCTATCTAAACCAGAGCCCTGGAAGTCCTGCTCGATCCCCGGGTAGCTCCAGGTGTAAGGGGAGAACTGGATGCCGCCGCAGTCCTCCACGATGGCCCGGCTGGTCACATGCAAGAAGATGCGGGTGTCTCTGGTAGTGTGGACGCGGAGCTGCTGGCAGGCCACGGCCAGCACGCAGTCTCTGCAGTCCTCCAGGAACACGGAGGTGGACACCGGGCCGCACAGCACCCTGCAGCCGTGGGCCTTGGCCAGGCGCAAGGCGTTAGGATTGCCATACAGCTTGATCGTGCAATCCTTCAGTTCGTTCAGAAGGATGTCGCGCTGGTGCAGCTCGTCGCCCCTCTTCTCCAACACTTGGGACTCCAGGTTGGAGAAGCCGCAGGCCCGGCTGGAATCGAGCGTTCCTTCCTCCTCCTCCTCCTTCAAGGGCAGCGAAGAGGCCAGGAGGCCTTCAGCCGCCGGGGCGACAGGAGCCGCGTCCCCTTCGGTAGCCGAAGCTGCCTCCTTTTTCCGGGCCTTGAACGCGAAGCGCTTCTTGGGCTGCAGCTCCTGGCGCCGTCGGGCCAGGGCCGCCTGCAGCTGCGCCAGCGCCTCCTGTCCCTGCCGCAGGTCGTAGGAGGCCAGGAACAGCACCGCGTCGTTGAGAAGCTTCCGCAGGCCCTGCAGCCGGGCGGCCGCCTCCTCCAGCCGCTCCGCAGAGCCCTCGCCCTCCAGCAGCTCTGCCACGGCCTTTCGCTCCCGAGCCAAGGCGGCCGCGAAAAAGCTGCTCTTCTCCTCTTCCACCTCCTGGTCCTGCCGCTTCTGCCTCCGCTTTTCCACCTCCAGTTGCCGCTCCTGCTCGCGCCTCTGAATCCGCTCAGGAACCAGGCTCGGGTCCCGCTGGACACCCTCGTTCCCGTTCCGAACGGCGGCGACAGAGAAACTGGCGTTCTCCATATTGACTTCAAGCTTCTCCCTGGACTCCCTTCCTCTGGGCGCGCCCTCCGTGAGGCCTCCCACCAACGCGTCTTTTGATTGGTCAGTCTCGCTGACGTCAGCCCCTCGGCCTTATTTCCTTTGCCTATTGGTTCCTCCGCGTTAGAGGGGCGTGGAGGCGGGGAGGGGCCGACTGACAAGGGGTGGGGGAGACAAAGGTCCTTGTGGATGGGTGGGGTGGGAGGCAGGCGGGGGAAGGTTTTTTTTTTTTTTTTCCTCTTAAAGGGGCAGGACTTATATCCGGGATTGTGGGGTGAGTTGCAGCAGCGGCAGCTGCACATGTGGGTTTGTTTATAAGAACAAGGTTAGAAACTCGCAGGCCTCCCCCTCCCCCCAGCTCCTCCCTACTACCCCCTTACAGGCCAGAGATTCGCTACCGGGTGGTGGGGAGGAATGTGTGCTTGTGGTGGGTGGGGGGACAGGTAGTGGTGAGAAAGATGGAGGGGGGGATACTGCACCTCCCGGCCCGCGCCGGAGGAAGCGGCAGCTGGAACAGCTGGCTAGGGAGCCGCTTGCATGTCTCTGGGTTTTTTTTTCTTTTCCTTTCCATCACCCCTTCCCCCAACCCATTCCTGCCGCCTCATAACCCTTATCCTTCCCGCCCTCCCCCTTCGCTGCTGCTCGGCGCGGCCTGGGGCTCCTGGGTCCCCGCGGGCGGTTACTGGGGCGGGAGAGGCGAGCTCCGCGCTGGGAGAGACGGGGCGCCTCACTGCAACGGCTTCAGGGAGCCCTGGGGGAGTCTAAAAACATTACATTTTTTTTTTTCCAATTGCTGCAGTAGGAGGGGGGAGCGAGGGAAGATGAGATCCCTCGTCCCCGTCCTCTTCCTCCGCGGGCCCGGCCGGGCCACTCCCTCCGCAGCTGGGCGCCGCTGGCCGCGCTGTGCCGAGACCCCGGCCGCCCGCCCCGCGCCTCTCTGTAGGGCCGTCGGTCTTTAGGAAAGCGTTGGGGAAACGGTACATTATTTCTAGAGGTGGTGGGAGGGATTTGTAACCGGAAGTGAACGAGCCTAGCCTAAAGTGGGGACCAACCCGAGGTGTGAGTGGGCAGCGGAGACCGCGCAGTCACCGGCGACCGCGCAGTCACCGGCAAAAGCCCACGGCAGCGACCGGCAGAGCCGGGGTCGCAGCGGCCGCCCGGGCCACCGCCTCGCGTGCTGCGCTCGGCCCCGGTCAGGCCTCCATTTACCCTGTCTGCACCCCGTTCCCAGCCTCCATCGTTTTTAATAGGGGATTTTTAACTGTCCAAGAAACTGTTACTCGAAATGTCACCATGTACCTGCATTCTGATGCAGTGAAAGATGGAAGGGAACGAGAGCTGTTCATTTAAATGGGAATTGAGACTGATCTCCGATTTTCATGTCCCACTTGCCTTTTAACCATTGTTAAAAAAACAAAACACAAAGCCTCGGTTGAATCGAGCGTTCCCCGTCCGCTGAGTCAGCACAGGTCACAGCGGGTGGCCGAGTCCCCGCGTGAGACGCAGGAGGGGACAGTCTCCTGGGTCTGTGAGTGTTTTGGGCGCATCCTATGGAGACGTAACGCCGAAAACAACGGGGCTTAGGCTGGCAGTGCGAGTTCATCCTGGTTTTCGTTAGTTTTGTTTCTTGGGCAAGGTAGACTTATTTTTACATTTTTCCCAAAAGCAGTCTTAGTTGACAAAAGTATGTGTCTGAAACTGGGAAAGAAATATAGCTTGATCTTGTTCAGGTCACGTGGAGGAATGCAATAGCTGTTTTCTTTCAGGAAAGGTGGATTTAATTAAAGTTTAGAGAAGACTTATTTTGTGGGGTTGAGGGGACTGATTTGCTTCTCTTAAGTTTTTCAGTAGCTGAACCTGTCCCCCTCAAATTAAGAAAGTTTGTAGCCAAAGAAGGCTTTTGGTCTTGGATATTGCAGCTGGAGTGAAGCAGCCTTTCTGTGTTAGCGTGGTGAATCTGTGGGTGGCTGTATGTGTTGCCCTTATCCAGAGTGGAATTGAATGTCATGAATCCTTTCAGGAATGTCATTTCTGCCTGTAGACTGTAAGGTTCTAATATTGTAAAGGACAAAGATTAGCAGGTCACCCAGTTGACCCAATGTGTTGGGGGCAGTTTAAAAGACTGATGTAAGGCCTGAATGGCTGTGGACAGGGACAGGTCAGTGGCCAGGGTGTCGGGAAGTTCCTAGCTGACATTCCTTTACATCTCCCAGCAAAGCTGCAGGCAGAGGTAGATGGTCAAGTTCAAAGGCTGTGGGATGGCTGGGAAACTGCTGGCCTTGGCAGACTGTATTTGCATCCTCTTTGTAACATTCCAGGGCAGTGGATTCAGCCTACATCCTTGAAATGGATCGGAGTTGGTCAAAGGTAAGCAGCTATCCTGACAGAAGGAAAGAGGATGCTTTCCAGTAGGATCGTGGTGAATGCAAGCAGCTGGTTCTGTCTTATTCTCAATGAAGGGGCTTGGGATCAAAGCCCCGCTCTCCCACAGACATCTTGAAAAATGAAAGAATGAAAGTACAATGAATTTTAACATTTGCTTAATAATAAGTTCGATACTTTGTCTATTTGTTAGATTTACTTTCTAGCTTTTCAAAAATTGCCAGCATACATAAAACATATACTTATCACCCAGCCTCAACAATTACCAACTGACACACTTTTGTTTCTTTTAAAACCCTCCTCTCTTTCCCCACCCCACCTTGGTTATTTTACAGCAGATCCCAGACACTATATAATTTCATGTTTTACAATCTACAAATAGTCCTTAGAACATTAGCCCTCCCTTTTAAAATTATAATTATATTATCATCACTGTACCCCCCAAACACTATAATTTTTTCCTAATGTCAGATTTTCAGTCTACATTCATTTCTCTCTGCTTAGCCTATAATTTCCTTTACTTGAAGTTATTTTATAAGGATGCAAATGGGTTCTATAGTTGTGTGTCCCTTAAGACCATATAATGTGCAGGTTCCACCCTCTTTCAGAAGTTTTGTTGAAAAAACATGATCATCTGTGTCATAGAGTTTCCCAGAGTCTGCATGTTGCCGGTTGCGTTTTCATTCAGTATGTGATGTATTTGAAATACTTGTTGCATTTATTTGATCTTTAATGTCATAAAAATGAATTTCATGCCCAGTGTGTTGGTGCGCGCCAGTAATCCCAGCACTTAGCTGGGATTCCTCTGGTAGGAGGAATGCAAGTTTAAAGCTAGCTTGGGAGGCTGAGTCAAAAAGAGTTACTGAGATCCCATCTCAATGGGAAAAAGTTGGGCATGGTTGTGTGTACTTGTCTTCCTACAGACAATGGAAAATGTAAAATAGACTGGCAGAAAGTGAGTCCCTATCTCCAAAATAATCAGAGCAAAAAGGGCTGGAGGCATGGCTCAAGTGGTAGAGTGCCTGCCTAGCAAGCTTGAAGCCCAAAGTTCAAACCCCAGCACCTCATGTTTGTATTTATATCCCCAGGAAAATAAATAAGCAAGTAGTAAAATCATTTAAGAAACTGCTTCTTGGCCTTTTGACTAAGAACAGGTGTTAAAAGAACACAAAAACCAGTGTGGGTATGCCTAGACAGCATAGGAATAAGGCCTATGTTATGGAATTTGTCATTGGCCCTGTGCAGGTGGAAGATGTCAACCATTTGGAAGCAAATAAACCAAACCTAGGCCTTGTCCAGAAGGAGGCTTTACCTGTTCATCCTTCAGCACACAGGGAGTATGGCAGATGGGACACATTCATGAGAGAGCTCTATCAAGCATCAAATGGCAGGCAATCTTCCTACCTTGATCGCTGACTTTTCTGGCAGAGACAGTGAAAGATGACAGCTGTGACCCCATGTCCTGTTGTTTAAAAAGACGCTAAACTCATCTGAGAAGCAGGACTGAAGCTTGCTTGGCTTTTGCCCTGGCTCTCTCCTCCACCTCAGCACCCTTTCCCTTCTGGAACTTTTTTCATCATCATACACTTACTGGTGAGTACAGAGGCTGGGACCTGTTTGCTCGTCTACCACCTGCTTAGCAAATACTAATTGTGCCCAGTACTGAGCCAGGAGACCCTCAGGTTGCCAGAGCTGCACACATAGTCACTGAATCTGAACACATAACCACAGAAGCATGTAACAGTGACCAGTGGCAACTGTTACGGAGGAAAGAGGTGCAGGGCGTCCACTGGTGAAGGCTTCCCAGGCTGCTGAGCAAAGGCTGGAAGGATGAGTGGGAATAAACAGGGAGAAATGGATATCACTGGTGACCTTGAGAGCCTGGTGGGAGAAGTGCTGCCTGGTAGGAGGCTGGCTGAAGGGCTGAGAAGGGAGGGGTGCGCGCCAGAGTCAAGGACCAACACATACAACTCTGGAGAAGTTTGGCTGGAACAGAGCAGTGGGAGGAACTGGGACATGGGAGGAAGCCAAGGAGGTGTTTTTTGATTTTTACAGTCGAACTTGAGTGTGTCTGGAGCCAGTGGGAAGGATCCAGTGGAGAGGAAAACTTCAAAAGAGGAGAGAGGGGACATAGGTGCATAGTACAGAGTCCCTGAGAAGGCTGGAGTACAAGTGCAGGGATTTGTCATTGATAGGCAGGGTGACTTCCTTACTGCAGAGAGGTTTCTGAACTTTTGCAGTTCTGGAGTTTGAACCCAGACAAGCACTCTGCCACTTGAGCCACTTCTCCAGCCCGCTTGTATTTACTTTGTTTTTGAAATAAGGTCTCTCTTAACTTTGCCCAGGCTGGCTTCAAATTAAAGAAATACCCCTGCCACCACGCCCAGCTCTCAATTTTTTTTTTTGGTGGGGGGGTGGCCTGGGGTGTGAACTCAGGGCCTCTCACTTGCAACACAGGCGCTCTACCACTTGAGACACACCTCCAGTCCATTTTGTCCTGGCTATTTTGGAGATGGGGTCTTTCACATTATTTCCCCTGGCTGGCTTCAAACAGGGAGCCTCCTGATTTCTGCATCCAGAGTAGCTAGGATTGTAGGTGTGAGCCACTGGTGCCAGCTCCATCTGCCTCTTAACCTCTCTCCCTTCTCACTGGACGCAAAGCTTCTCCAGCTCCTCCCTCCCACTTTTTACTACCTCTAGCCACCAGCATCCTTGGATCTGCCCTTAATCCCTTCCTTCTTTGGCTTCTTTTTTTTTTGGCTTCTCCTCTCAGTGAGCAAGTTCCCTCAACTTAGGACAGCTTTTCCTTTGTCCTGTCAGCCACTCAACCAAATGCTCCAACTTTCTTCCTTTTCCCAACAACAGACTTAAAAAACAGTAATCCACATTTGCAAGGTGGTTTCTGAACTATCATTCCTTCCTTCGCTCCTTCACATCCCACTTCTGCCCTGCCTCTTATTTGAACCTGAAATTACCCAGTCAATTTCATGTTCTGTCCCAGTTTTCAAAGCCAGTGCTCTTTGTGGCATTCAGTTATTGATTCTTCTCAAGGCAGGGTGTCAGGCTTCCTGCTGCTTTTTTTGGTTCTTTGCCCTTCCCTGATACTGTTTCTTGTCTCCTTCACAAACTTCCTCCACCATCTCTTAAGTATCCCTGAGGCCAGAATTCCATCCTCCTACCTGCCTTGCTCCTGTTGCCTTCTCCTTTGGCAAGCTTTCCTTCTCTATGTATTTCTGTATGCTAAGATTTGAGTCAAGTCAGCCTGGTTCCTGAGTCTGCGCTGTCAGACTTCCCGGGCAATCATTTCCACACAGGAAATGAGCATCGTCCACAGCACCTCCCTCACTCTAACTGGGCTACTCTCTGTCCCTCTCCATCTTTCTCCTGTGGTTCAAGTGGTAGAGTGCCTGCCTAGCAAGCACAAGGTCCTGAATTCAATCCCCAGTCCTGCCAAAAACAAACAAAAAACCCAAGTCTGATATGGTGGCAAATGTCTATAATCCAAGCTACTCTGGAGGTGGAGGTAGGAGGATCACAGTCCAAGGCTGGCCTAGGCAAAAGTGAGACCCTATCCAAAAAATAGCAGAAGGGCTGGGGGCATGATGTAAGTGGTAAAGCAAAGCTTTGAATTCAGGCCCCAGTACTGTTTAAAAAAAAAAAAAAAGGGTACGTGGCAGGGGTCACTAGAAAGATGTCACTCTGGGAGGCTAGAGTGATACATATATAAATTAAATAAATATAAATTGTATTTTGAATATAGTTATAAATTATTTTCAGGTCAAAAGGTACATAAATTTATTTAAACATGTCTGCACTGGTGTTCTTTCTGTCATGATCTTATCAGTGAGGTATGGTGGTAGGAAATGAGTGGATGGATCTGACCTGAAATGCTGATTAGTTGTGTGACACTAGCTATGTGGCATCAGCCATGATGCTTAACCTCTCTGAGCTCAGTTTCCTACAACTATAAGCTAAGGATAAGGAAATACATGTTTCAGGATTACTGTGATGTTAAATAAAGTACTGTGTGGTGAAATACTCAACACTGAACCGACCAGTAACAAACCCTCAGTAGTTACCAGGTTCCTTTCTGTCGCCATGACCTTCATTTCTTTGCACTTCTTTGCCATCAAGGTCAATGATAAAGCCAGAATCTCCTCTGTGCTCTATGACCTTCTCAAAAATGGCTGTTTAATAATTCTCACCCGGAAACCAGGCTCATGCCTATTAGCCTAGCTACTTGGGAGTGTGAGATTTGAGGCCAGCCTGGGCAAATAGTTCTCAAGACCCCAATTCAAAAATAACCAGAGCAAAAAAGGCTCAGGGCATGACTTAAGCAGTAGAGCAAAGCCCTGAGTTCAAACCCCAGTCCCACAAAAGAAAATAAATAATGCTTTTCCTATAAATAGTTGTGTAGGCTTTCTGCATTTTAGGGGATATTTTGGCAAAATTTACATGTAAATAGTGCTGCAAAAGAAAATCAAAGCACCGTAGAAAGTCAGAGTTGGGTGAATTCCAAGGGGTCCTTTAATACCAGCACAAAATTTAACTGGCTTATAATAAAAAAGAAAATATATGTTGTTATTTTTATGGCAATTTGTTTAAAGAACTGCATTGTGAAAGTATATCCTTTTTCTTTCTCTTCATCTTTTTTGTTTTTTTGGCAGTACTGCTTTTCTTTTGGCAGTACTAGATTTGAACTCAGGGCCTTGTGCTTGCTAAGCAGGTGCTCTACCACTTGAGCCACCTCACAGCCCTTTTTTGTGTTGGATATTGTTGAGATGGGGTCTTGAGAACTATTTGCCTGTACTGAATTTGAACCATGATCCTCCTGATCTCTGCCTCCTGAGTAGCTAGGATTACAGGCATGAGCCACCAGCCCCCAGTTACAGCACTGGGGTTTGAACTCAGGGCCTTGTTCTTGCTAGGCAGGTGTTCTCCTACTTGAGCCATGCTCCCTCCCTTTTTTTGCTTTTAGTTATTTTTCAGGTAAGGTCTCACTTTTTTTTTTGTCGTTCAGGCAACCTGGACTGAGATCCTCCTACTTATGACCTCCTATTTAGCTGCAATGATAGAGGAACACACCACCACACCTGGTCTATTGGTTGAGATGGGGGTCTCACTAACTTTTTGCCTGGGCTGGCCTTAAACCATGATCCTCCTAATCTCAGCCTCCTGGGTAGCTAAGACTACAAATATTGAGCCACTGTGCCCAGCCGTCATATTTCTTTATGGAAAGCTTTCCTTATCGTAGAATCTTCAGTTTTGGGAACCCCTGATCTACCCTGACCTCAGTTCACAAATGAGAGTGTAAAACTCTCAAGTTACCTTTTTTTTTTTGTCAGTACTAGGGTTTGAACTCAGGGGTTCATGTATGCTAGGCACACCTCCAGCCCTCATGTTCTGTATTTAATAGAATAAACTGTGCTTTCACATACACTTAAGTTCTTCTTTGCCTGTCAGCCCTAGGAGAGCGTGGTTGTGTCTGCTGTTTTTTATGTCCCCGGGTTAGTCAGCTTTCTATTACTGTGACAGAATACCTGAGAGAAACAACTTAGAAAGAGGAAAAGTTCTTTTGGCTCAGAGTTCAGAAGTTTCAGTCCATGGGCACTTGGCTTTGTTGCTTTGGCCTGTGGTGGCTCATACAGTACATTATGGCAGGAACACAAGGTTTGGTTACCTTATGACAACCAAGTAGCAAAAAAGAACGAGAGGAAAAGACCAGTGCCCCATATTCTCTTCAAGGCACATCCCCAGGAACCTGAGCCCTACCTCTTATAGGAGCTACCATCTCCCAGGAGTGCCACAAGCTTCACCATGTGGCCTTTGGGGGAGCATTCAAAATCCCTGTAATCCCAGCACACAGCACCATGCCTGGTGTGAAAGGCTCTCAGTAATTATCTGTTGAATGAATAAATGAAATACTCAGCCCAGGCACTGGGCTTTATCCTAGCAGTGAAGATATTCTTCTCAACAAGTCTCTGGAGGGATCTTCTGTCCTTAATGGCTCAGTAGGGCAGGTGCTCCATGAGCAAAGGAGCCCACGGGTCACACAGAGGTCAAGCATCCTAGATGCTGAATGGCAGCCAGACCCACCAGGTACTTCACTTATCTCATTTAGCCTTCATGGTAACTTTGCCAGAAAGGCGATCATTTGAAACAATAATTCCAAGATTATTTGAGAGACATAGGCAGATTTTAATTTCCACGTGATTGTGAGTTTTGTTTTAGGTTCTTTTGGCAGTACTGAACTCAGGGTTCACACCTGCTAGGCAGGTGGTCTACTGCTTGAACCATGTGCATGTGGGGTTTTAATACAATTTGGGGAGAACTTGCTTTTTCTGCCTCAGTTTCTTTCCATAGTATAATGACAATAGTGAGCTGTGAGGTTTTGCAATTGTTCAGAAGCTTTTGTATAAATGCTTGTTCATTGAACTCAAATGTTTTTAAAATGTCAAGGCAATTCTGTCTACAAGTTCTAAGGTCTTCTTCCTTAGGGAGGATTTCATTATTTTTTTTATGAGGTGCTACTTTTCTTTGAAATAATATAAACTGGTGTTTTAAAATTGCAGCTGCCAAAATAAAAGAGTCAA